AATACAACTTATTCAGCTGCACATGGGTCGGTTGCTAAAATAGATCACATACTGGTCCATAGGTCATGCTTAAGTGTATGCAAGAAAATAGAAATTACCCCATGCATATTATCTGACCACAGTGCAATGAAACTGGAAATAAATGACAAAAGAAACCAGAAAAAACCCTAAATACATGGAAATTAAATGAACCATACTCAGCAATCAATGGGTCACAGATGAAATTAATCAAGCAATTCAACAATATCTACAATTTAATGAAAATTCAACCACAACTTATCAGAATTTATGGGATGTGATGAAAACAGTTCTCAGAGGGAAATTCATAGATGTGAACACACATATTAGAAAAACAGAATAGGAACAAATGAATACCCTAATGTTGTACCTCCAACATCTAGAAAAGGAAGAGCAAACCAAACCCAGAGCACAAAGATGGGAAGAAATCATAAAGATTAGAGCAGAAATTAATTCAAATGATATGAAGAAAGCAGTTCAAAGAATTAATGAAACAAAAAGGTGGTTCTTTGAAAGATTAAATAAAACTGATAAGCCCCTACACCTAACCTCATCAAAAAGAGGAAAGAAAAAATTCAAATACAAGCAAAAAGGAATGAAAAGGGTATAATCACCACAGACCCAGCGGAAATTGAGATTATCAATAGCTACCTTGAGAATCTTTATGCTCACAGAATAGTAGACAAGATGAAATGGACAGATTCCTAGAAAGGTACAAACTACCAAAACTGAATCAAGAAGATATAACAACTCTCAATAACCCAATAACAGCTAATGAAATACAAAATGTAATAAAAAGCCTGCGCACAAAGAAAAGTCCAGGTCCTGATGGATTCACAGGTGAATTCCTCAAGAAATTTACAGAAGATATAATTCCCACACTCCTCAAACCCTTCAATGAAATTGAAAAGGAAGCAATCCTCACAAAAATCATTCCTGGAGGCAAGTATTATACTAATATCAAAACCAGGGAAAGACACAACTAAAAATGAGAACTACAGGTCAATCTCCCTCAAGAACATAGATGCAAAAATCCTCAATAAAATCCCCACAAGTAGAAAATAGCAAATCATCAAGAAGATCATATACCATGACCAGGTAGGATTCATCCCAGGGATGCAAGGATGGTTCAATATTAGAAAATCTATAAATGTAATACACTATATCAATAAAGTGAAATCTAAAAACCACATGATCACCTCAATTGACGCAGAAAAGACTTTTGACAAAGTCCAACACTCATTCATGTTCAAAGTCCTACAGAAAATTGGAATAGAAGGCCTCTACTTCAATTTGATAAAAGTCATAATTGACAACCTAATGGCTAATATAATTCTAAATGGGGAAAAACTGAAATCTTTTACTCTCAGATCTGGAAAGACAAGGATGTCCTCTATCAGCCCTCCCATTCAATATAGTTCTATAATCATTAGCTAGAACGATTAGACAAGAGGGAGAAATAAAAGGAATAAGAATAGGTAAAAAGAAGCTAAATTATCAGTTTCACAGATGATACTTTATTTGGAATACCCAAAAAACTCCACCAAGAAGCTACTAGAATTGATACACAAATTCAGCAGCATAGCAAGATACAAAGTCAATATCCAAAAGGCAATAGGATTCCACTACACAGACAACACACACACTGAGAGGGAAATTATAGAAATAATACCATTTACAATAGCACCACAGAAAATGAAATACCTTGGAATTCATCTAACTAAAGAAGTCAAAGATCTTTTCAAGGAAAATTACAGTACTCGGAAAAAAGAGATTATAGAGGATTTCAGAAAATGGAAAGATATTCTCTGCTCCTGGATAGGAAGAACCAACATCGTGAAGATGGCCATAGTCCCTAAATTGCTGTACAGATTTAATGCAATCCCTATCAAACTACCACCAACATATCTCCCAGACCTAGAGAAATTGTTCGTAAAATTTATTTGGAACCAGAAAAGACCTAGAATAGCAAAAACAATCCTGAGCAACAAAGACAAGGCAGGAGGCATTACAATTCCTGACTTGAAATTATACTACAAAGCTACTGTGATAAAATCAGCATGGTATTAGCAAGGAAATAGACCTGAGGATCAATGGATTAGAGTAGAAGATGCAGAGGCCTCTTAGAACACACTCAGCCACCTTATCTTTGACAAAGGGACCAAACATGCTTACTGGAAGAAAGATAGCCTCTTTAACAAATGGTGCTGGAAAAACTGGCTCTCTACATGCCGAAAACTAAAAGTTGACCCAGGTCTATCATCATGTACTAAGGTAAAGTCAATGTGGATTAAACATCTAAACATTAAAACAGAAACACTAAATCTCTTGGCAGAGAAAGTAGAAGGAACTCCTGAAGACACAGGGGTAGGTAAAGAGTTCATTAACAAAAATCAAATTGCATGGGAAATATCTGAAAGAATTAACAACCGGGACTTCCTTTTATTGAGAAGCTTTTGCACGTCAAATGAAATTACCGACAAAGTGAAAAAGACAACCCACAAATTTTGAAAATATCTTAATATGTACTCAGAAAAAGTTCTGCTCTCTAGAATTTATAAGGAATTAAAAATCATTAGGGCCCCTAAATTTAAAGATCAAATCCAGAAATGGGCATCTGAGATGAACACACACTTCTCAGAGGACAAAATTAAAGAGGTGAATAAATACATGAAAAAATGCTCCATATCACTAGTCATCCGTGAAATGCAAATTAAAACATCACTGAGATAACCATCTCACTCTAGAAAGAATGGCTATCATAAAGAAATCAACCAACAACAGATGCTGGAGAGGCTGTGGAGTAAAGGGAACCCTTTTTCACTGCTGGTGGGAATGTAGGCTGGTGCAACTGTTATTGAAGTCAGTGTGGAGACTCCTTAAAAAACTACAATTGGAAATCCCATTCAAACCAAGTATTTCCCTATAGGGAATTTTCCCAGAGGAACTGAAAACATCATATCATAGTGATACATGTGTACCTATGTTTACAGCAGCACAATTTGTGATAGTCATATCTTGGAAACAACCAACATGCCAGTCACCTGAGGAACGGATGAAAAAAATGTGGTATTTTTATACAACGGAGTATTACTCAGCTATAAAGAATTATAGGGGCCGGGGAGAGGGCTCAGTGGAATAAGTGCTTCCCTGGCAAGCACAAGGGCCTGAGTTCAATCCCCAGTTCCGCAAAAAAAAAAAAAAAAAGAATTATAAACTTGAAGCTTTCATATTTAAGTGGATGCCAGTTGAGGATATACTGATAAGTGAAATAAACCAGACACACGTGTGTAAATATTGTATAGTCTCCCTAGTATAAGAACTCAAAAAAAGAAATACAAATAGAAAGGTATAATACAATTAAAAGGAAAGCAAGAACTTGAGGAACAGACAATGAAGAGAAAGCAAGGAGAAGAGCTAGGAAACATGACAGAGGCAAAGCCATACAGTTATATGTATAAGATGGGTAGGCAATGATCCTGAGAATCTTCAGAAGATTTTTGAATCTAGCAGTTGATTGGAAGGATTCTCACCCTTACTTACTATATATGCTGGCACCTGTGAACTAAGCAACTGCAGTGAAGACGGCAATTTGTAATAGTAGGTTCATGCTTGGAGTGCCTGTCATTTTGGTCTTCCGAATACATGCTGCTTGTCATGATGCGCCAGTTGCTAACATGCTGTCTCTTGGGTAGACGTTTGTTTAAAAAGGAAGGAGGTGGTGAATGAAGGCAGGAGACAGGAAAAGGAGTCTTGGGGGACTGTCCTGCTACAATACTGCATATGTTTAGATTTCTGGACTTACGTGTAATCATATATAATTCTTTATTCCTATTTTTTAAATATATTTTAACTTTTAAATGTTTTTTTCATCATATTCTGTAGAGACTTTAAGTTTAACATATCAATACTTGATGGAAAATACCTGTTCCATGTTATGCCTAAGATGTTTGATATTCAGACAGATAGTGAGGTTAAGCTCAACAGACTAGGTTGTATGTTAATAGCAATAAACTTCTCTTCGCGAGGGTTAACAACCTAAGTTTACAGACCAAAAATAAGAGAAAAAGGAGGGCCGCAAGGAAAGCCAACATTTTGCCCCTAGCCTTCCAAGGTCAATTAAGACTCAGGACATATGAGAACCTATACTGTAACATCATGTAACTCAGCTGTGTCCCAAATTTTTTGATCAAGGAGATTATGGGGCCAAAGAGGAAAGTGATCAATGATGCAGAGTGTACCTAAGGAAAGTTACATGGAGAGAAAACATTTTTTTCAGGCTTTCACAGAGAGCACATTGGCCAAGCAAAAGCTGTGAATTATCCACATGGCTGACAATGACAAAAGATCTACAATCAGAGGTACAGGGTCTCAGGATAAATCTTGAGGGGATTTGACCGACCTTATCAGATCCAAAAGCTACAATTCTTGTTACATAGGTCTTGCTTTATCTTGGTCTTAACCAACCAGCAGAAAAGTATGAAAACGAAGTATAAGAAGTAAAGCTATATTGTTATATTAAACTGTAGGGGACTCAGGTCAACAACTTCTGATATTGCCAGTCATGTAGAAGACCCAATACTATTATGGACTACTGGACTATTTTGGAATAGTTCTCTGAGTTCAAACACATACAATATTTAAATGACGGAACTAAACAAAAAGGGGGATACAGATGAATATCCATTTTGTATCTCTGTATTCAAAATGGTTAGGATATACAGCTACATTCTCTTAATTCAATGATTAGAGGGATTTGTTCCAATAGTGTTTGTAAATAGGATATCATGTCTGCATCTTGTACAACAAATAACCACTAGGAAGACAGTATACAATGTGTTATTTATTGAAACTTCCTACTAATTTTATTTGAAACTGTTTCATTGCTATTTGTTTCTCGATAAAATTACGGAAAAAAAAGACAATAGCACAATTTAGTTAGTTCCAAACAATGTTAATATAAACTGGCAAGTTAATTTTACCTGATTTCCAACTTTGCCACTTCAGGTAACTCTCCATAATTTATTTCTCCTATCTCTAGTTCTTTAAGGGCAGCTATAATTTTTTGCTGATCTTTACTGGTAATTCCATTCTATGCAGAAAAAAATTTAAGGTGTAGTAAGATATTTTTAGCTTTATTAATGTTTTCTACTTGAATTTGCATCTTGAAAAACACACATTTTGTAAAATAGAAAATTAGGGGCTGGGGAGATAGCTCAGTAGAATAAGTGCTTTCCTGGCAAGCTCAAAGGCCTGAGTTCAATCCCTAGTTCTCCAAAAAAAAAAAAAAAAAAGGAAAATTAATTATATGGTTTGCTTGTAAGTATGACAAATTTACATCATTAAAATATTTGGTATGTCCAACAATAATCAAGTTTTTAAAATAAGCAACTGCAATGGGCTATAATCAAATCATTTATATGAGTTTAGAAAAACAGTAAAGCTGTTTCCTTCAAAATATTTAAAATATTATCAGTGATAATACCCAATATTGTGCTTCCCTTTTGGTTTGTATTCTACTTTGGTCCTAAACTGAATTTTCTAATGTGGATTTACTTAAGTAATATGCTTATCTTAAATTTTAGTGATAGAAAAGATATAAAATTCCCAATGTATCTGTAAAGCAAGATCATTGCTGTTTAGATACCTCATTTGTTGAAGTAAATTTTTAGGTAAAATAAGACTAGGTACCAAAATAATAGGTTTTTACAATCTTTTTTTTTTTTTTTTTTAAAGGCTTTC